TAGACATAAATAAGGAAAACAAGGGGAAAACAACGGATGCATTTCTTTCATTGATAAACTTAGTAAGCAAAGTGAGTGTGACCAAAAGAGCCAAGCTTTTTCTAAATTCGATAACCACCAGCCAAGTTGTTAAACGTGAAAATCTCTGAAATTCCCGTCAAAATTCCGAAAAATACAATGTGCGAAAAGTTACGACACATACTGGATAACACTGACATAGAAACGATGTCTCTCACCAATCCTCAAATCCTTCCAACGGCTTCGGCACAGTTACCTAAATAAATTGCAGTAGAATCAAATACTGGATCACTAAGTGATAGTACAATCATCATTTGCTACAAATGAAGTAGAGTTCACACAGACTGATTTATAACATTTAAAAGATGTCACCAAACAAGATGATGTTCACGGAATTACGCCCGGAAAGAAATTTAAAGGTAAAGTATGTCGATTTCAAAATGAGAACCCGGAGACAAATTGAATTTTACGCAGAAACAATTTCAAGTAAGAAAGATCTCACTGTTGATTTAGCTGATGTGGATCCGGATTTCTTTCCCACTATTTCCCTACGACGTGCTTCATTATGAGGTGGCGCTTCAGCACGGCGAGTAACTAAAGTAAACGAAAATACCTTATTTTTTTAAACCACCACCAAGCAGACTTGGTAAGAACAAATAATCAATAAAGCACCTTTATCACTACCGCGAAGGTTTGTTGATCCCATGGGTTTCGTCAATGTTGCTGAAAAAGTAGTGGACTGAAGGAAAGATTATCCTAACGACGAAATATTTCTAAACACCATCATCAAGGATTAAGAATACAAACTCGAATCTGATCCCCAGTCAATGATTTCGCCATTACCGAAGTCATCCCAGCCAGAAGTTACAGCAGCAGAAATTTCTACTGAAATCAGAGACATTCTGAACCTTTTTGAAAATGTTTCTAAAAAAAACAGAAAATCGACAAGCAGAACAGATGGACATACAAGAAAGACAGCTATAATGAAACCATACGAGGCGAGGTATAACAACAACGACCAAAATTAAACCTGAGGAACTGGATATTTTGCTCGAAGTGTTTGACGAATCAGGCGTTATTCCTAACAAAGAATCGATATCATCATTTACTGAAAAAAAACTGTGATGTGAAAATTAAAGAAAACTCTTCATTTTACAAGAGAAAACCAGCTTACCTTTCTTTGATTTTGCCGGCATCAATTTCAGCTTGCCAACCGATTTCTTTTCACCGATTCCAAGCTTTTTAGGTGGAACAACGGAGCTGGTGGATATAGTGGAACTTGGTCTCTGCACAAAAATATTACAGAGCACGGTACTTTTGCTTTTCTTTTTAGCATTTCTAAAGCGCAAACAAGACTTGACAAGTTACTGCAAGTTAAAAACATTGCGCACCAAGGAGGAACACTTCCTACACTCACAGTAGATTGCCAGCCACCACTCCAAAAATCTTCGTCATCAGGTTTATCAACCTTTATTGGTTCCATAGCATCTGTCCAATCATCATTAGAGTCAATGTCTACAAATTCCATATCTAAGCTACTAATTCGTACATTATAAGTAGTCTCCGTCCAATATAAAGATTCTAAGATAGATTAGATTAGAGATTACAAACCTAGATTACAGATTACAAGATAGATTACAACCTAGAAATAGTTGCAACAAACAGAAGTTAAAACTCCAAAACGAACCTAGATTAGTCTCATTATGTTCGAGATCTCCCCAGCCATCAACTTCGGATGAGTGACTGACCTTTTCTGATGTGGAAGGTACTATAAAACATTTTCCTTTTAAAAATCGAATAAAAAGAAAGTAAGCGGTAAGACAGTGTGCCAAATAAACTTCCACAAAACATTGAAATTCTATAGCGTTAGAACACTTTCAAAATTGAAATATAAAATTTAAAATTAAACGGTAACATTCGAAATTTAGAATAGGAAATCGAAACATAAGTGGAGACAATGTTACTTATCTACATAAATGGTTCGTCTTCACTGGTTGTGCGGGCCCCAGCATCATTTCCATTTTTTCGGAGTTTTGCTGGCTTAGTCGTTATAGTTCCATGGATTCCCGAGGCCAGACAGGCCAAAGTCCGCCACAAGTCGTCACCACCACATGCAGTCGCTGCCCTTGTGGATCAGAAGGAGATTTGCCACTATGTGACTTTGATACCAGGACGGTGGTGGATCCTGGTATTAGTTTACTCTTAGCTGGACTTCCTGGTAGAAACGCCGGACTCCTTCTCAGATTAGGGGACCCTGATGAGTGGACGAATCCACCCGCTATACACCGCACCTCACCACCCAGGAACACCTCCTAGCCACGATGAGACGGTACACAGTTGGTCGAGGAGACCATATTGCTAGACTCTTGTCAACAGCACATCTCTCTCATGGATTTAGATTTTTCGAGATGTAAAATAAGTTCATAAATCGACCGCATAATCACAAGCAGAAGGTGAATCTTCTCTGACACCTCCGTAGTTCCATTACTCTATACTGGATCTATTTCCGACACACAGTGTCGACACAAGTGGGAAATAACTTCTGTTATCGTCCTGGAAGAATAATAAAGCATAGTGTGTTGGGTATAACGCGAGCATTCACAAAGAATCCAATTGATGCAAATCCATGCATGACCAGCAGACAAGGAATACCTCAATCAAGGAGTTCGGATTACATGCCTACGAAAAGTACTGAGTTGATCAAGAAAAGAAAAGTGAAGCTTGATCCTACCGCAACGTAGCCGAAAAAAAAACCGTTGCTGAAGATATTTGCAAAAGAATCAATATCAGGACAAGCAGAAAAACTATTAGAAGCAACATGGAAGAAAAAACAGCCAGCATAAAGAATGTTGCCAACTTCCTAGAATATAACGCCCAGCTATCAGTCCTGAAAAGCAAAGATGGGATTACTACTACCTCTTGCCATGATGTGGAAACGGTAACGGAAAGGTTATAAACTAATGTTTCCATTCCACCAAATCGCCGTTCCCGACCTTACAATACCCGCTGCAAAAACCACTGTGAATTCTTTCCTCTCCATTTCGCAATCGAAAACATGAGGACACACAGACCTGTAAGAATGCATAATATCAGAGCCGATTTCCTTCCAATTGAAACCCATAAACTATATGCGCTTCTGGCAATCCATAACAAAAATTCTCTTTAAAAATAAAGAAAAGTGCAAGCCCTTGTAGGAAGTGATCCTCTCCAAAAAACGGCTGTAATTCCTATCACCGGTAATCTTCGCCTCCAGCCTTCTCGTTGATTATGATGTACAAGTTCTTCACGACGACTCTCATGTCGCCCTTGTCAAAACCCTTGGATAGCGCATAACAGGTTGAGCAAGTAGGATTCCAAAAGGAAGTCAGCGGCCTTACCGACCTTACAATACCCGCTGCAAAAACCACTGTGAATTCTTTCCTCTCCATTTCGCAATCGAAAACATGAGGACACACAGACCTGTAAGAATGCATAATATCAGAGCCGATTTCCTTCCAATTGAAACCCATAAACTATATGCGCTTCTGGCAATCCATAACAAAAATTCTCTTTAAAAATAAAGAAAAGTGCAAGCCCTTGTAGGAAGTGATCCTCTCCAAAAAACGGCTGTAATTCCTATCACCGGTAATCTTCGCCTCCAGCCTTCTCGTTGATTATGATGTACAAGTTCTTCACGACGACTCTCATGTCGCCCTTGTCAAAACCCTTGGATAGCGCATAACAGGTTGAGCAAGTAGGATTCCAAAAGGAAGTCAGCGGCATGTACTTCATCAGAACCGTATCTGGGGTCACTGAAATCCATCGAAAGTAACACTGGACCCTTCCTCTAATCAACGTCGACTACGAACAAGCTTTAGATAACGTCGAAACAAATGAAATCTGGACACTCGTCGAGTGAGAAGAACATAAGAATTCTAGGTGGTTACTATTATAACTATACAGTAGGAAACAAGCTCCTTTATGACGGTGGTAAACAGCTTTGGTGAAATGTTACCTGACAAAGGCACAGCAGCTCGCCAAAACTGTTCACTTCTGAAATGCAATGACTAACGAAATCATCCAGTTAAGATGAGAAGACTACATGCATTGATGGAAAATTCTTATGAAGTTTTCGTTTTATTGACATGGTAGGCATACTTCAGAGAAGTAAGAGTGAATTAGAGATGAAGATCAAAGAACTCGACAAAAACAGGATTGGATTGCGAGCAATCCGATAGGAGATATGTTTACAAAATACATATGGTCTGAAGGTAAATAAATCGAACTGTAGGACTCCTTTATTACAGAGATCACATAGTACTCGTACCGAGGGCGTTCAGTGAAAATGAAGGTTGAGGTGAAAGAAAGAATACGTTGAAGATGCACAACAAGGGTTACGTTCGAACTCCTCAACGAAGTAGTAAGTAATATAGCGGAGCAAAAATTCTCTCTAATCACAAGAATGCTGAGATATGAGCAAAACCTGGAACCTCAGCTGGACTACGAGCCTGCGATTATCCTTACCGTGGATCATGTGCTATCCATCACAGCAACCGAGACTTTTACTTTGCCTTCCTACCAGTCATGTTTTTATGCTTTGCCTTTCTATCAGCCATGTTTTTACTTTAGTGGTGCTATCAACAATCAGTCGCCATTGGAGAACGATTTTGGGAACACAAATCGACATTGAACGCAATTGAATTGAAGCAAGCGTTCTATTATGCAGCAAAGACATGGACCAACAGTTCGAGGATAGCAAAGGATTTTGCTTACTATTCAAAGAGCGCTTAAATTATGTCTCATAAAACGCACACAACACATAGCAACATTCTGCAACCGAGTTTTTGGGATTTACCACACCTTCAAAGATACAGGATCCGGAACCACCGAAACCGAAATTTGGAGCGCTGATCTAAGAGCCGATGACAGATGAGCGATAGAAGCGTGAGCTTGGATTAGCATTATTCATGATGAAAGGCAGTCCAAGTGTCCAAGAATGTAAACTATATGAAAAGCCCGTTAATAGGACACAGGGGTTTTCTAGCGTAAAAGTTACAAAAAATAACTGCTTCCTCTAATCGCCATGAAAGTTCCAGCAAACGTAGATTAGCAATATTTTTCATAACTTTATTTCTCTTACCAAACTCATTTGCACAAGATATGAACTGACCAACAGCCGACGCAGTCGTCACAATCCCTTCGCCAATTTCGGCAGTATTTGACGAGTTCACTTCTTGTAGTGCTTTTCCTTTGTAAAATTTGCCAGACAAAGATTTTAATGCCCAACTTGCCCATTGTGGAACCTAAGTGATATGCGAAACATGGCGAGTAGTAAGCAATAACAAAACTAGGAAGAAAAAAGGAAGTGAATCCACACCTTATCACTACTCAACAGTGACCGACCTCCTGCTTTGACCTGTGCTTCAATTTCTGGTATCAATTCGGGGTTTTCGCTCGCTTTCTCAAGGTTCTCCATAAAACCTTTAATGGCTTTAAATGCCTGATCACGAACCTGGTAAAAAAAAGACAAACATATCCACCGGGGCATTTTATGGAATACATTAGAGCGTAATTACTTGTTTTTCTGGATCACACGTTAGAGGCGATAACGAGGGGATGACTCGATTTGCTACCTCAAGTAAAGAATAGAATTGCTGTGTTGCAGAAAGCGCCAGTACAGCTGCCATTCGAGCAGGTGTAAAGGGATCCTAGAGAAGAAGTTCATTGAGGGAGTACTACGCTAGGCTTCCGCTCTGTTTCACTAAACTGTAAACATTAGTCAGAATTCACCTTCATTCCCCTCGTGAACGCATTTAGTAGAACAACTTGTCGTTTGGATGGGTCCAGATAACTAGCAATTTTTCCTAAGCAAATAGTTGTGTTTGTTCTAATGCCACCATGTTCATCTCCACCTTAAACGAAATAAGCAAATAACCACTAATACCCGCTCTACAGAAGGAATTTGTTGCAACAGCACAAAACCTTGGAGTCTGGCCAGGAACTTCATTAACTCCACATTCAGATTATGAAAATTTAATTTCTCTGCCAGAGGCACCATTGCTTTAACGGTACTTTCACGAACTGCGGGTGAAGTGTCGAGAAACCCAGAGGTAAGATTTCTAAACAGTGAAGTTTACATGTGAAACATTTCAACGAAAAACCTTTAAAGGTATTTCGAAAACAGATTGTAACTAGTAAATATTTCAAATGGAAAAGCCTTAGGAAAGAACTCACGAAAAAATCTTTTCGTTCACAATTTGAGACGACAAATGGGGAGCAAACTCATCAATACGTTCTAGTAATTTAACACGTGTTGTTCGATCGGAACTTCCAAAGAGCTATAAATGTTTAGGAATACAATGAATCCGTAATATGACGAATAAATAAATAAAGGATAAAGCTCTCGGCAATGATTAATCCTTGGGCAGTGCGCCATGCATTCGACTTCATTAAGCATCGTTAGGAGGTTATTAAATGCATATCTGACCTTTACAATGAATTGCGGTGGCCTGCCGATACATCGTGCCAATGCTGCTATACTCCCAGACAAGTCTGGTACCAATTTGCCGACCTCGGAAGGATGGAAGGCTTGGTAGGCCTAGGAAGCGGGATCGATCCCAGGTGTATTGCAGGGCGCCTCCGACCACTGCGCTAGATGCGCACACGACCAACAAGAAAATTTATTCTGGTATTTACACGTCTTGGACAAGAACTGGAGAGCTACTAAAGAGAAAGGCGTTAGAACATAAAAAGGGAATAAATACCTTAATCAAGCAAGGAACTATTCTTTTCTGATATTCCGCCTCATCCAACAACTTTCCAAGTCTAAAAAGTGGTATGAGTATGTTTGGGCCAGCATCACCGTATTCGTACGTCTGCAACTATTGGCTAACGAAAATAATAAGGGCACGTTTGTAAAGAAAGAAAACTTTTACCTCAATTATTTTGGGTAATATTTTATATTTGGCAATATCATTTGGAAACAAGCTGAGATTTTCTCTCAGATGAGTAAAGAAGGGTTGTTTTTCGCCAGACTCCTTTAATTGAAATTCCTCGAGAAATAACAACGTGTCGACAAACTTGTTCTTGAAAAAGCCACCCGTTAATCTACAATCTAAAGAAGGTAGTGATTATGAATGAAAACAACAACGAAGATTAAAAGAATTCCCAAGGAAAAGAGATAAGATAATAAGGGAAAACAAATGATGAAATTTTTCGCAAGGAATTCCTTAATCAATAAAGAAACCGATGATCCACTAAAAAGAACCTCGGATCAACTCAGCCGATGATGTGCGAGCAGCAGCTGGCGTTGCCATTCTCCTATACAAATCGTGAAGCTTCTTCGGTATTTTTCCAGGACCATCCGGCTTTATGACTCGGTCTTGGAAACCATTGAAGATCTCCCATAAGAGTAGTGCAACTTGGTTCAGGTCTGACTGAGGTGAACTGAAATATTTGCAGTAATTTTTTTTTTGCTGGAATTTGATGAATTCGAAGCCAAAACACTATAAGTAGAAAGACAAGTACACACAACGGACCTAAAGTTAGTGACATGGTCAAAACCAGCGAGCTTCCAATCACCGCCTACACTAACGTAGACTGATCGCCGAACATTTTCATGACTGATGCTCGCCTCATGCAGGAATTTAAGAGCACTCTGAAAAAAAAAATACTTAAACGACATGCTAAGAGAACGTCAGCTACTATGGGCACATACATGGACGTTGTCAGTACAGTGTCACCATAAATAATAGCCTTGAGCTGGTCAAAAATTCTGTGTTTGACAAAATCTCAGTGGTTTCCACGCTTCCAAGACTTTTCAATGACTCTATCCTAGAAACTCGCTGTAGGTTGAGTCGGTAGTCGTCTTAAATGACCAGGAGTTTCAATAAAAGATCTGAAATCATTCGGGAGTGACTAAGCGTCAACTGATGCACGAAGTCATCCATCATCATCTCACTAGAGCAAAACATCTATAAGCACTGAAGTAGCGTGAAATGTCAGTTGATGGATTTCACACGAATTCGCGGACGTCCCGAAGTAAGCCAGGCCAAGATCAGCCCCAGGTCACCACCGTCACAGGCTGTCGCTGCCTTTATGGACCAGAGAGAGATCTGCCACCATGCAACCAGGTTCACACAAGAACGGTGACGGATCCCGGTACTGGTTTACTTCTAGTTGGGCTTTCTGATAAACGCCGGACTGCTTTTCAACTTGGAAGACCTAGACGAGGGATGAGTCACGTGCTGTAGATCGCAGTCCGACACCCAAGAACACCTCCCACCCAAGATGAGGCTGTAACCCGTTGAGAGGTGGTGAGTGTGTTAGGTGCAGGAAAATAAATGTGTCCCACTTCCCATCTCAAGAATGGGTAGCGATGATGTATAGATAGACTACTTCTACGTTACGTTAGTGCCTAGAACTGTAAATACCCTTACTTCCATCCCGAGATAAAATAAGGAGAATGGAGTGGTATATAAAGTTATGAAAGAGATGCCTGTCAAAGTTACTTAACATTTCAACACTTTTCAAACCCACGAAAACCAGTAAAAACGAAGTGAAAAAGGGCAAAACAAACTACATCTCACCATCACTCTGAAAAGCCCCCAAGAAACGACAAACTCCTTCTGCGAACCGCTTAAAGACATTTCTTCAAGGTAGACTGCTAGCGGCTTACATTTTTCCGTCACTAAGTAAAACGTAGAGTCAATCTGGAAATAAACGACATAGTACTAAGGATTCGTGTCAGAAGGAATAAGATATCTGAAGATATCCGTAAAAAGAACCTCTATACTGCCTTGATATATAAGAATGTCAGGATGTCGAATCGTCCGCAGTTTTTGAGCTTGTAGTTTCAGTGAGGAAGCATTTACAGAGGACCAGAAAACCGTTACCAACTCCTCAGGTTCGTTCTGTAAGCGTTTTCCTTTGTAATGTGCAAAATAGAATGAAGATAAACTGCTTTCGATTCTGTCTTAGTGGCAGAACTTCTCCTACAAATCGGAAGTATTCTGCTGTGGCTTCATGTAGCAGGACCGACTTCCTATTAACAATAGTGTTAACAACAATTACTACAAATACTATTAACAACGAACAAGAATAGAAAGTCGGTTCTGGGACTTGCTACATGAAAGGCCTGCAGGTAACTTCTGACTTGCAGAGGAAGTCCTGTCACTAGAACATAAACGAAGCCAGTTTATTTGGCAGTACCTTCTTGAAACTGTCTGCAAAACTAAAACCACCGATTGTAGAGCAAGGGTCTTGAGGTAATTCAAATGGAAACTGCGATCTTGGATCTCGTGAGAAGAAAGAGGAGAGTACAGCAGCCATCGCATGGAAGTCCTGCAACGAAATTGCTTTTTAAATACAGAAAATAGATAGAAGAATGAAGAATTTAAGTGGCCGATAATAGAAGCACTGCGAACGATTGAGAAGTTACTAAAAGGACAGAAGAAGATAGTTCAACATCTATAAAAATCAAAAACAAAAATTAGAGCAACGGCAAATCAGATCAATCATAAAGCGTTCGGTCTCGATCAATTCCTGATTGATCAACTATGCATCTGTTTCCATTCGTGACATCGCGTACATGGCTATGCATTAGCATATTCGCTTAAAGCAATAACTTGCGATGGCCTGCTGGAATACCAAGTCTCTCGGGTATGAGTCTGGTACACTTGCCGAATCCGCATGAATACCAGGCGCGGGACTGAACCAACGACCTGGCCTGTACTTAGTGCAGGATATCTCTAAACATTGCGCTACGCGTCTACAGACTCATGAAAATGAGGAAAATAACTGAAAACGGATCAAATCTGACTTGAAAAGGCAAGAATTCATGACTTTTCTTTACAAACCCACTGTTTGGAATCATATAAGCGACCTAGACAAAACCACAATTGCATTCGTGACCCCCTAATAGAATGTTTGGAATGAAAAACCATAAATTCTGTCGTTTCACCCGGTTTATCGATCGATTAGTTTGGTAAATCGCGCATATAAGCTCTTGAATACACAGCGACAAAGTCAGTTAGCACACCTTTTCGTTGTATACCAGGTAATAGCGTCATCTTACCAAACAGATCAGCGTCGTCCCTTCAGTGAGATCAGGTTACTTCTAATTTCTTCCCTAGTTCGACGTCGTCCACACCCTTTCCGAAGAAGTGCCATAACGTTAAGATCTGACGGTGAGTTAATGCTCCCAGTTCCCTGCCAGAACAAAACAATACCCTGAATCACCTGCCCAAGGACTGAACACTTTAGCTCCGACGAGGATTAGTCAACAGTTAAAGGACCGCCAGACGGTGGACATCCTGGAATCAACGCTATTTAAAGGTCATCTACTGACCGATGTGGTCCTGACGCGAAGCAGGTGAACTTTTTTTTGTAGGCGTTCCTTATTGTTCGGCAATCGATCAGTGACGCAGTAGTGCGTGGTGCTGCCTGTTGCCAGGACAGTTGTTTTTTCTTGTCTTGTACGTTTCAGTCCTTCCCTCTCACGTGCCACTTCCATAGTGCCGTTTGGGATCAATTCATCAATTCATTAGTGATGATTTGAAGCGTTTTGTGTTATAGGAACAAAATGGACTGCAAGGTGTACGTGGGAGGACTTCCTAATGACGCCACTTCGCAGGAAGTTAGTGAACGTTGGCTCAGTTCGGTTGAAACCAACCCATTGGGAAAGTAGAGTTTCTCCTGAGTTCTGAACAAGGGTGTAACGGGTGCAAGGGGTTTCAACGCCGATCGTTCCGTACAAAAGCGTACTATTGCTGTCTTGCAGATCGAAGACGCGTTCTATCGTTTTGGCCGAATTCGTAAAGTTTGGGTTGCTCGTCGTCCTCCAGGGTTTGCATTCGTGGAATTTGAGGATAGCCGTGATGCTGAGGACGCTGTGAAGGCGTTGGACGGATCGTAGGTTTCTGTGACTCTAATGACCAATCATTTTCCTTTTAGTAGCAATGTGTTGGGCCTAGTAGTGCAAAGCTGACATCGTATGCCACGGCCAGACATTGATAGTTCCAGTAAGTGGAGTGAACCTTTGAAAAAAGACAAAAGAAGTGGCTTGAGTTGGCCAGATTTTTGTGTAGTCTCTTGTTTTATTACAGAGCTCATTTCACGATGGAGTACTTGTAAAGTAGAATTAGGAGTAACGGGTACTTCACTGCTATTACAGGAGAATTTGCGGAGTTCGTGCTCGTGTCGAACTCTCACACGGTCGGGGCCGTGGAGGAGGTGGTGGTGGTTACGGTGGCCGCAGAAGCAGGTAATAGTTTACTGCTGAAATGCTGCTTAAAAGAGCCCTAATGAAAATGTTGCAAACTGAAGATAAACTCACTCTTGACTGAAAAGAGGTTTTTATTGTGGTATTTGTCGCCGATAATGCGAAAGATGTAGCTGCATGTCTTTTAATCTCTGAATGAGATTACTACGAAACTAAGATCTGCAATGTGTTTGTTATGTTGGCTGTTTTTTGGCCTCTAGAATTCAGTAGTTAATGTTTGCAAGGGTCAATTATGTTGAAACCGGTGATTGACATGTGGTACTTCAGCGGACTTCACTCGTCCGTCCATCGCTACCCCTCCTCTCTTCCATCACTTCCCTACATCTTCACAGCGCGTGCATCAAAACTACGGCCACCACCTCTACACATCTCCACGCTTCATTCCATAGATATGCTGTTTATATAACTTAGTACCTCGCGACGAGTGCAAAATAATGTGCATCGAATAATCTGAAGCACTCGTCAGCGCAGCTCATTTCCCTCGAACGCCCAACAGAGCATCGTGGCGTCTGTACGTTCTAGCTGGTGTTCTACCAGCCAACACGCAACAGTGCCACTGCAGATTGGTCAGTTAACACATCGTCAAGCGAATTATCGTGTGAGTATAAAGCAGTGAGAGGCGTCGTTTTTTTAGTTACCCATACAGATCGCGCTCTCCTCGTCGTGGACGCTCTCGAAGTCGTGATCGAAGGAGCCGTTCTCGTTCCAGGTGAGTGTTTAAGGACATTTCTTACATAACGCTGTCTGCTATTAGGGTTTCGTCACCATTGTTTAGTTGCGAACCTTAATATTTTCTTTAGTAGTTTCGTTGTATTTCCCGCTCGCACAAGTTAGTGAAACCCGAGTTGTATAGCTTCTTTTGGAGGCAATTCTAAAACCAGTTTGTAATGAACTGATGAAATAGTTTACTATACTATGAAAGAGCACACGGAGTAAACATTTGTTGTGTTTAGTTTTTATGTATTATTGTGAACATTGACCACACGTCATACATGGACTCTGTTCATATTTGAACAAGCGAAGATCAGATCAGATCGGACGATGTTTTGGAATAAAAACAGTTGGGTTTCACAAATTCTGGTAAAAGCTGGTAGGATCTCTTATTCTGCTACGATGGAGTTCTAAGTTCGTTGTTCCCGCTAATCGTTTTGACCACTTTCAAAATCTAGGGTCGAATTTCGAGCAGCGAAGCGATCATGAACAGTGGAATTCCATCCAGCAAAACGAAATACCTATTAGTCTGTCGTTGATATTTGCAGTTATATAGATCTGCCAAGTTGTGTACTCCTGAAATACTCGTTATCAAAAAGTTACAAGTTATCGATAACTTCTTGAAAATGAACGGCTTGAAATTTGGACTTGAATAATGTAAATCTATTTAGTAGTTACCTAGTTAGTAGTTAGCTTATAAAATTGAGAAGTCTGTAGACCGAAACTTCACATTATTTTTTTGGTACATGACGCTGTTATAATTGCAGTGGTTTTGAACAAGATTTCGAAAACTTTACTTTTATAACGGCCCCTTTTTAATGTTCTTATCTGTTATGGTAACATTTGTTACTGTTCATCCTTTATTAATTCGGGCAATATCTGTGGAGTATCTCACCACTTCAATTTCAGGAGCCCAAACTATAGGAGCCGCTCTCCTCCAAATGGAGACCGCCGTTCGCGCAGCAGATCTCGTTCACCGTCTCCATAATAGCAAGCAGCGTGTTAACCGTTTTCGTTGCCTACTTTTTCTTTCTTCTTTTGTAATTTATCGAAACTGTAGTGCGTATCTATAATCGATAATGTGCGGTTTCCCATTTAGTTTACTACTGGTTCTCTTCTGTTCATGTCCATCGTTACCATTGTTACGTTGTATTTGTGTCTCGAAAGAGATGCGGTGATGTTCTTTTGTTTAATAAATCTTCTCAAGTCATTGACAAGCATGCGAGTGTTACACTGTGCAGAGGGGTGGCGCCCAAAACATTCATCGTTACAAATATACATCGTTTGTGGATGGATATGTCACCCTCTTATCATGATTTCATAACGACATGTTTCTTCAAAATGGGGGTTCCTGATGGATGACTGGTATGCGTATGTTTTGTGACCATTATGTGTACGCAGATGATTGATACCAAGCCGAGTTGCAATCGCTATCGATCCATTTTTGTTCATAATTGTTCGTAGTATACTGATCATGGTTCTTTGTTTTAGTTCTGTTAATGCCTGCTTGAAGTCGGCGGAATTTTTAAATTATTAAATGTCGTGTAGTTTATGCTTGTTTCCGATGGTGTTGATCTTCGGAGGTAACATCATGGAGTCCCGCGTCTTGTGTGGATTGTAAACACCTGTTGCTAGTGCTTTCATAAATTTCTGATTGTGGTTGATCTCCTTATCTTTCTTAAATGTTGTATTCTTCGGCGTATTAATGAGATTGAGAGGTCATAAGGAGACGGAATTCAGGTGTTTGAATTTAAAATGGATCGAGAAGACATCGATAAAGTAGCTGTGTCGACGGGAATCATATTCTTGTCCGGCTTGGTTCTGTTCCAGTCGTGTCATCGAGCGTCGACGATCTATTTTTTCGAGGTAATCTGTAAATAGCATTGTTTTAGTGCAATTGGTCTATAGAAACTATCTGTTAAGCAAATGTTTTGAAAAGCAGCACACTTATTCTGTTTTATTAATGTTTTTTTTCAAACACTCCCTAATTCCTAGAAACATTACAGTTTTACGATTAGTTGAAGCATCTGAACCACCAAAACGGTTTCATGGGTTGGTCTGCTGTTTAAGTTCTTATCGTCAACACAAAGGTCTTCATTCTTTGGGTGTACTAGTAGAGCGACATACTGTGTAGTTGTAAAACTTGAAATCGCAGTATTCAGTGGAGGCCATTCCTGTCACTGAAACCTTGCCGTTATAATTCACTATTTATTGGGCATACCTTCAGATGGTTTACCATCTCATCTTGGCTGGGAGGTGTTCCTGGGTGTCGGGCTGTGATACACAGCGCTACCCGGCAGAGCATCCCGAGCTGAGAAAAATTCGGCGTTTTCATTATGGAGACCAGTTAAGAGTAAACCAATACATAGATCCACCACTGTCCTGGTATCATGCTAGTCGCATGGTGGCAAATCTCCATATCCACAAGGGCGGCGACTGTCTGCGGTGGTGACGACTTGGGGCAGACTTTGGCCTATCTGACTTCGGGGCTCCAGGGAACCACAATGGCTTAACCAGCAGAACTCCGGAAAAGTAGAGATTATGTTGAGACCCGCACAACAAGTGAAGATGGGGTACAAGTAATCTTTGGCAGTACACTAATCGTTTTTTATTAAGTCGATCTAAGATCAAATCATCACAAGGTCGAGTTAAAGTGCCTCAAATTGAATACACGTGTTGCCTAGGTTAGCTGTAGCATTCGTTTTCATACAAGAGTTTCTCTGTTCCACTTTGATGTTTTAGAATAGTGCTGGTATTTTCCATGGGAACTGTGCCGTATAAAAGATCACAACATTGTTTGATTCTAATATCCTATTAGCAATAAATTCTTTCAAGCTACAAACGACGGCGGTTATATTCATTGAGCCACTATCGGCTGTACTTCTGCCGTTCGCCCTATCTGTACTATTGTGGCTTGTTTACAAGGGAACGAAGAGGAGTACCTCATTGGAATTGGAGCGTAAGGCGATAATGGATAAGAGAAAAGAGGTAGAGGTTAGTCGAATATGAAGCGTAATAGACAAAATAAATGTTTAGCGATCTTCTTCACGAGTGATGCGTTCTTTCTGAAAATTTCAGTCTTTTAATTATCATGACATGAATTGTCACACATAATGTTTTACTTTCAAACCATTGAAAGTGCTTGAGCTGTGTAATGCCAAGTAGTTTTTAACAGAATTTTACACAACCGCTCTTTGTTATTTTTGACCTTGTTTTTGTCGAGTCATATGGACAGAGAGAACTGCTGCTGTATCGCTTTTGATATTAACGTTATGATTTCGATTACTGCCTAAGCTTTGCTAGGTTCAGTGCCGATTTAGACTTCCCAGATCAATCTCGTTTGCTAGTGATTGCTGGTGGCACTGGTAAATAGGAAACTAGCTGAGAGACAGGCAAAACGAAAGGCCCGCATGGTGTGGTGGTGAACGCGTTAGCCCCCGGAAAGGCTAAAAGCGTGTTCGTTCTCAGTTGCGGACACCTGCGGTCCGGAGTTTTACATATATCTCCAGATCATTGTGGTTCTATCACTTTTGACATTGTTTTTCTTCTATTGAATCGTTCCATGGTGATTTGGCTTGCTTCTTCCGGCTTGCTACCGATTTCTGGCACGTCTCTTTCCCAGTTCGTTTGACTGTGGGAAAAATTTTAATGCAATTAGTTACCGTTATGAATTAAATGCATATAGTCAACAATGTCGTACTTCATGCCTTATGCATCCGATTTAACCCTAATTCAGAACATCTCGTTAGCGAATTCACGCAAACCATCGAGAAGCGGTAGTCGCAAAGTTTCACTGACTGATGAGCAACAGTTTTTCCGTCTGAATAGTACGTTAGTGATTTGTTTCGTCTTGGAAAATATGTTGTTCTATTCCTGAATGTCCAAGTGTTTTTCTTTTCATTTATTTGTTTATTTTCTTGTTTCCATCTGTTTAAATGTCTACTATAAGGGGCAGATAGCAGGGTAGTAGTGGTGTTGGTCATCACCAGCATGGTGCTAGTTCGATTCGGCTCCGGGGTAGCCAAGTCTGTCATCACCCCGGAGTCGGGAAATCGGTACCGACCTTGTTCAGGAAAAAGCTCTGCAATCCAACTGGGAATGCTTCAGCCTGGCTATCTCAGGACCCCACGGAGAACCGACTCGTTCAGCATTCTTCGACATTCAAGGTAAAATGAAAGGTCCTCAAGCAGCAACCGAAGCCACACGTAAAAGTTGGAACATCTTCGCGGATAATGGATGCGTAGAAAAGAATCGAATGTGAGAAGTGTTGGGATCCGAACAGTAGACATGAAGTCGGATCATATAAAAATAAGAGTTGAGTGAAAAAATGTTTACTCATTTAGAACTTGAATTGATAACTGATATTATTTAAGTAAGGAGAAGTGCTTAACAAATTTCCGATAAAAATGTCGACTTAGGAATGCTAATTCATCCGCGATAACTGTTTGGTTTGGTCATAAAACAAGAATAAAGGATAAAGCTCTCGCAGTTGATCAATCCCTGAGGAATGTGCCATGCATTCGACTTCATTAAGTATCGTTAGAGGTAAATGAATGCAAATTTGGCCCTTACAATGACTCGCGGTGGCCAACCGGTGTATCGAGCCAGTGATGCTATCCTCTCAGACAAGTTTTGTACCAGTTTGCGACCCCAGAGGGATGGAAGGCTTGGTGGGCCATGGGCGTGGAGGTCGATTCCACATGTGTATCGCAGTGGCACCTCCAACCACTGCGCAACAGGCGCCCAGTTTGGTCATAGTGTAGGTTTTCTTTCTTATCAGCCGTCACCTTCTTACTGCCTCATCCAGCATCATAATTTACTATTAAATGGAATTGATGGTATTGCGTGATGGCTTTTATTTCTTGAAGATAGTATTTTGTTGCAATCTGTTGTGATTATTTGCAGGATTACTATCGGACATTCAGGAACAGGATACTATCCATAGTATCCAGGACAAACCAATTTATCGTGATTCACCGGAAGAAGAAACTAAGGAGACAGCGGAAGAAAGCGATGAACTTCTTGATAAATTTCCATACGAAGAAGATCTAAAGCGAGGAGATGTTTCGCCTCGTCCAAGTGAAGCAGGCGAGCTGTAATCGTTTGTAAGAATAAAGTCGGCCCTCGTTCCCTTGGGTTCAGTCCTAGTATCAAAGAGTACTCGGAATATCAGACGCTTCACCTATGGCTGAGCTGAAACTAAAATCCAAGAATCACATGTTTACGGTACAGACTTACATCTTAGCAATCATTTCCTACTAATAAATGAAATTTACTAAATTAGCTGATTCAAATGTTGATTTTTGTGAAATTCATTTTCCTTCTTTTATACTTGCATTATTCTTTTTTTCAACTTTACTGGTTTGGTTTCTCGCCACTTACATTGTACTGGTTCTACAGTCTGGTGCTCTACAGTAAAGTGCACGCAGTTTTGCGATGCATTTTCTTTTCGTACAAATTGCATTATGAACTTTAAAGTTCTTAAGAGTATGCCGGTGACGTTTGTATCACCTGCAATCTTATTGTGTTAGCAGCTTCTGCTAGAAAATGGACCGTTGGGAGAACTATATTTTGGATGTTTTGTTTTGAAGTAACATGCTGCATAATGGTGCCACGGGGATACAACAGCTTCTACATCAAGCGGATGAGATCGACGTTCTATTGCGGATGTAAAATCTGTCGCCCTCTTTCCTCTCCACCGCTCTTCCTCCATGTTTGAGTAACTTCTCGCTGTCAGAACAACTTCTTGTTGTGTGGAGTGCCGAACTATGGAATTATGGTGCTGCCTGGTGTGTTTCTGAGCAAATCGTTTAGTTTGCTTAGTAGATCGCAGTAATCATCATAAGTGAGAGTAATTCCAGGTTTTCACAGAATTCAAGTGCAACCTTTCCATGAGAATCCTGCTTCGCCTCAGTTAGGGAACCTTCGTGGGGTCTACTTGCTAGAGTTGAAGGAGATACAATTGGCATGGATAGATTCTCAATATTTTGTCACATGTTGTTACGAGTCTGAACCAGCACTTGTTTGTTAACCAGCTAGGTGAAAAAAGTTATGCTCTAATGTTATCGTTAGAATTACAATCCATTTGAGAAAAAAACAGCGATAGCAGTGGTCTGCGTCCCTCTGGTCTGTGGCGTGAATACAATTTTTATTCGTTGTAAGTATAGGACATAACTTACTTAACCACAATTGTTTCGTGGTTAGACAGGGTTTTCTTGGTTGAGAGAATATAAATCCAGTTCGGGAACACGCACAGAGCAAGTTTGTTTCTATGAAAATAATGTATCGTAGATGAGAAGGCTTCTTAGCTTTTGAAGTCGAGGAAGAAGATCTGGTGGTGATGACGGTTCCCGTCAAAACTTATCTGTAGTTTATGTATTGAGCAGTGTAGAGAAAATACCACCGTGTGCCATGTTATAGTAGGGTATGGATGAAGAAAATCATTGACACTGATTGCATGGACTTCTGCCTTTTAAAATGACTCGCGGTGGCTTACCGATTTATCGAGCCAGTGCTACTATCCTCGCAGACAAGTTTGGCACCAATTTGCCGACTCCGGAGGGATGGAGGGCTTGGTGGGCTTGGGGCGCGGTGATCGCTCCCGTGTGCATAGCAGGGTACCTCCGACTACTGCGCAACACGCTCTTCTGTTGGCAAGGTGGTGGTTTTTTTTCCCGAGGAAAACAATTGTTTCCTATGCAGAAAGTATTTACCACGTATAGGTGGTTTTAACACCGAAACTTTTTAGCCAACATGTAATTTTCCAGTTCATCGTTTTTCTTTATAAAATGTCCCTTTTTCTTACAAATATAATTTCATAAGTTTGCTTCGTATCTACAATACTCTTAGCCTTGTAGTATTCTAGGTAGTGCATGCCGTTTTCATATCTCATCAGCAACTACCAAATCGTTGCCACACTTGAGGAGTTCTGCGGAATCAGAGTTTCTCCGGAAGACTAGCGAACGTCAGTTTACCACTAACCTTTAGAGACCATTATTTCCGTACTCGTCACTTAGTATTCGAATTCAACTTTCCTAGACCAGGGAAAGGTTAAAGGAAAAAGAAAGATTTCATGTTCTTCTTTTTTATTCTGGCTGTTTTTATTTGTTCCTACATTTTGACAGCGATTTAGCTCCACCACACAGTGTTGTCGCCTATCCCGAAAACGTAATTCTGGGTGTTAGCCGGAAATCCTCTGCTGGAAGTGTCGGAGGTCGAAGATATGAAGGCGCTGACCCGAATGAAGATGATAGTGAGCGTGAGAGGAATGAGATTTACATGCAGATTGGACAGGTTGTTTTACTTTCTATTCACTTCATGCCAGTATCCTAAGAAAATGAACAATATTTTCACTGAGAACTGCTGATTCTCGGTTCAGACTAATCTCTTCACATACTCCTTAAGTGCTCTTAATCTACTTCCGAAGAACCGACCAGGATTACCGGAACTGAAGCTAAAGTATCTTTTCAATTCTTCTGTTCAAGGCAAATTTCTTGTACACATTAGCAGAGATATTACAGTTTTTCCGACATCATCTCGGAGTTCTTTGCTGTGCATTTGCCAGTGTGGGCCTGCGTTGCGGCTTTCTATGTCGTACTTCTGGAGCTGTTCGGAGTTCATTTTGGTAAGACTGTACTTCTATTTCGAGGTTGTCAACTTTAACAAATAAATGAAACCTGAATAATTTTCTGCTCGTTTAGTTTATTTTTGAAGCAGTGATCTTATCTACTTCATACTAAGTCTTACGTTTGAGGTTTGAGTTCGATAATAAGTTCACAAATCGCATTACTAGTCGCATGAGAATGAACTACAACTGCAGCATAGTTTTCTGGAGTGCTTATATTTGTGTCTGGAATGTCGAACTGATAATGGTGCTGAGATATTTGCAAAACTCTGGAATACTGGTGACTGCGGTGGGGACCGAATGCGGTATTAACTTTTCTGGGAGCTAACGCGTTCACCACCACACCATGCGAATGCACTTCGCCTTTCTCGCAGCATGGTGTGGTAGTCAACGCGTTAGCTCCCCGGAAAGGGTAATAGTAATAGTGTATTCGGTCCCCACCGCAGACACCAGTAGTCGTGAGTTTTGCAAATTTCTCAGGCACCATTATGGTTACATTTCACATAATACTCTGCCATTAAAAAGTAGGCAGTAAATGAAAATTGGCGATATCGAGCTGATGTTCTGTCGCGGACTTTCGAAATCTACATCTTTTACTTGCACTCCTAGTATTTTTAAATGAATTTTTATGTCGACGTTAACCTTAGTAATGAAGATTCCTGATGGGGCGTGATAGTCTGTGTGATTCTGGTGATTGATTCTCAAGAAATTGCTTGAGTATTCTATAGTTCTGAAAAATCATGTGCTGTATGTATTCTATGCTTCCAATCTGCGAGTAGAATTTAACTTTGGGGTTAAGTAACCGTGTTAAAGAGTCTAGAATTTCGCTAATTTCTTACCGAAGTTGCTAGATTTGTTCAGTTCACTATTTCACGTAATACCCTGCCATGAGAAAGAACTTAATAGGCAGTGAATAAAAGTTAAACAGTTTAAAAATTGTTCCTTGGTTCTGTTGCACTTTCTGGTCAAAAACGTTTCCATGGTGAATTTGTTTTGTTCGTTAAAGTGGGTTAGCCGTGGTCTTTAGTATATTTGCTCATGACGCTTTACTACATTGTTCTTATCAGATTTCACTATAAACTTGGATGAGCCGTCTTTACGAATGTTTCGGAGTCCATTAAATTTCCTATCTATTTGTTTACTTATCTATACATGATCGTCTTAGTGGTTGCTGGTTGTAGTTTGTCAATACTGCTGATCATTCTGTTATTTGTAAATCGTCTCCATTTCACACGGATGCAGTTTACTGACACTAGGCTCAAGAACATCCAGCCATCTTATACGGTGGTCGTCCTGTGTTTTTATTCTGTTCTGTGTTTTTCTCGTCCATCTATCGTCCACTCTTGCTATCACTTAACGTAACCTTCGAATGTTTCTGCCCATATGTTTTCATAGATTTCTACAATGGACGGTCTTTTCTGCTTCCAAGATTTGTGCTTATCACTTTAGGAATCCTCCTGAAAGGATTTTCTACGGCTAACACTTGTTATTCAAGTTCTTTTCTTGAGCGCTTCAATGCTTAGTGGTGAAAATGCGACTCGAACATTATTATGAGGGCGTCGTTTTCTTGTTCAGCAATCGCGAGGTTTTTAAACAGCATACATTTACTTCCATAGAGAAACCCAATACAATACAACACTAGTTGACGTTTCGGCAGTATCGCTTTCGTCAGAGCCGCTTTTTCGTGACTTCCAATGAGGAAGTTTAGAACAGCTGTCAGCTGTTTAATAAGAACAATTTTTTTTTGCTACGAAAGTTGAAAGCGGACACAGCTAGGCAAAGTGATAGACTTCCGTATGGAGCGATGTAAGAGCTAAGGGGAAGTGTATTTCTCTCAGGTTTATTAGGTTGATACTTTCTTCGCAAATACTAGAAGCTCAATTATTTAACTAACCTAGATCGGTGTTCTTGCTCGCGTTCTGTTGCGGTGTGAATGCCTGAAACTCCATGTGATTTATAGTCTTCGGGAGAACGTAAAAACCCTTATCAGAAGAGAATATGCTAGATATGGGGGATTAAGAGTCCTTCTTAGTGTGTGTTGTGAGAGTCTCGCGTAAAGTATTGTGGACGTATTTAGTCAGGTTTCAATGACGTAATTTGCAAGTCGAGGTTGTCCTTTTGCTGTCTTACCACTCTACGTCACTTCCGGAAATACCATTCTTCAAGATGCTCAGACAGGTGTATTGCTAATTTTCTCTTCCAATTTCCATTGTAGAGTCGTGAGATAGGTGTGTGAGAGATTTCTCAATTCTAATCACAGTCATCATTTCTTGTTGAGCAGGTGGTGACTTACCACAGTGCTCCGAGATTGTTCCTAAGATAGCAGTGATTTCTGACACTATTTCGCTAGTTCGGCTTCTAGGCAGAAATATTGACACCCACAGCTTAGTAGTATTTTCGGAAGATGGCCTTCCGACTCTAAGAATGCATATCCGAACAATACCCTCCGTCTCATGAGAGTAAGGACATATTAGAAATTCCTTTTAGCCAGTTCTCTGAAATATCGAATTCCATATTTATTAAAATAAATTCTTTTTTTTGAGCCAAAAAGATAGGATGTGAAATGGGACGACCGGATCGTTTTCTAAGTGTAACAATACTTTATTAAGCGTGCAAACCTGCTAAGCTTGCTAGTTGTTTGTGGATCTTGGTCATACATGAAATGTTGCAGCTCTTAAATGTGAAGTTTTAGGACTTTGACATAGTAGGAGTTTTCTTGGACAAACTGAAACTACTGCATAGTTTTCAAATAAAGTTTATCAGCCTTGAATTTCTGATCTATATTTTAACGTGCACTTTACAGCGTATTACTTCTACTATCATGAGGAGACGATGGTATATTCGGCATTCTCGTTCTCCATCATGTTTGGACTGTTTCATGAATTTTGGGGAGGATGGGTCTCAAATGATATTTTGGCTTTCTCGTCGATCTATATAGCATGCTCGAGGATTCAGGTATGTTCTTGAGTTTTCCTTTTTTCCACTGCGTTAGTGGTTTGTATCGTTGTGTCCGAGGTAACGGCGTTTTCTTATGGTAACTGATATGTTATATTTTCTTAATATTCTGTTTCTTTGTAGGCTGTTAGCTATCAAGCAGGACTAATTTTACTGGTGGGAATGGCTATTTATGACATTTTTTGGCTCCATGTCGTAGATCTCATTAGTGAGTCTGTTCTAAACATATTCATAATTTTGTGTGGGTGCATATGATAATGCTTTATTGCCATATATTTTATACACAAACGTTTCTAATCCGCGTAACCATTCAATTTTTTGCATCCAATAATCTTGCAATATCAAATCAAATCCCGCTGACGGGTGATTGCTGATGATTGATTGATAGAACTAGCTGAGAGACAGGCGAAACGAGGGACCCGCGTGGTGGTGAACGCGCTACTCCCCGGAAAGGACAATAGCGCGTTCGTTCCCCACCGCATACACCTGCGGTCCGGAGTTTTGCAAATATCTCGGCATTATTGGAGTTATATTTCACAATCTTACAATAATTTTAATTTTTGCAACATTTATGGTGGGACGGCTCGATTATATAGGAATACCAAATAGCTAAGACGATTCGGTCGGAATTTGTTGCTCGCCTTTGTGTACGCCACGAGGGACTTCTTGTAGGGAGCAGTCACAATGCCGGAAACCTCAGTTTATCATAATTATACAACAAACATAACAATAGAACTCTACAGATAATGCAACAGTGATACGGATTATGAGTAGGCGCAGCCTGATCACTGGTGCTCAGGCTGCTTATGAGTCCGCGTCCCGTACCTGTAATGGGACCTTTCGTGAAACGCGTTCTTGCACATTGCATGAGCCGAATGTGTTTAGCCGCAGTTTAATTTCTTCTATGGTCGGTAGACCTAGCTTTTGGGCAAAATTTTCGTCGATAAAGGATACCTCAGCTCCCGTGTCCAGTAAGACGGAAACTTTCTCTAATTGTTTTGTGGTTGGGTTCATTATGGTCAATTTCCCTTGGGTAGGAAAGTTGACTGCAGTTTTGTGCTAGATTTCGTGAAACTTTTGTCTTTGGCCGGTGTCTCTTGTCCGATGTGGTTTATTTTGGACGTAGAAGTCGGTTTTTTAAGCTCTTTCTCTTTGTGTTTACTGGCGTTGGCCTCGTTTTTGGCGTTCGCATTCTTCGTAGGTGGCATGAACGTTTTCTCGTTTGGTGTCGGAAAGAGACAACATGATGTGTGGTGACGTTTCTGTCACTTACGTTATGAGGACCCGTTGCACTGAATTGTGCTGTGGGATGGAGAAGCGCAAATATTGCATAGCTTATTATTTTGAAGGTACTGGTATCTTCTTTGAGGTGTTTCGTATTTACTGCAATGGAAAGGCTTATGGTCGCCTTTACAATACATGCACCGGAGCCTTGTTGTCGGCGGCTTCCAGTGTTTGACTTTGTTGTCGAAGCTAACTGTATCTCGAGGAGGTGTTGCGCTGGTCTGGCGACATACCTGTTCCTCGCTGGTTATAACCTCTTCAAGATATTTTAGAAGCTCCTGCATGGTGAAGGGTTCGTCGGGAGAAGTGATCTTTTTGTGAATAACTTTACCTTGGGTCCCGACTGGAAATTTCGAATGAACGTTTTGGTACGTGGACTGATTGTCGACATTTTCATCTTTTTGCACTAATTGGCCTATGATGGCTTCTATGTCTTCCAATAGTCTGCGTTGTTCGTGTATGGACGACGAGTGAAGGGAGATTTTGTCCATCTTTCTGAGGAGCTGGCGAATGAGTTCTTCGGAATTACCGTACTTATTAGTGAGGAATTCTATGGTTTTTAAGTAGTTTTGCTTAGTGAGTTGGAACTTCTTCATCGATTGTAGAGGTTCCCCTTTTAAGGAGTTAAGTAGGTAATTGAATTTTTGTAGCTCTGAAAGATTTTGTGAATGTTGAAAAGCTCCCAAAAGTTATCCCAGTCCCAGATGTCGCCATTGAATGTTGGGATTGGGATTGTGGGTAGCTCCAGATTTTTCACAACCGCGGTGACGGTGGATTCATCTTTACTACTATTCGTAGTGGAGTGTTTGTAGGATGTATTGAGAAGCTCAGCTTGAGCCTTGAAGCCATAGATCCGAGCATGAAGGAGTACAAGGTATTCGAAACTATTGCCAATGGTTTCTTCAGCAGTAGTTGAGTACTGTGTGAACTCTTCTTCAATATTCGGTGACGTTGGGTGTGACTTTTCGAACATGGTAGCGAGTTCATCTAGTGCGTGTTGAATCTTTGTGGTCATGTTTTCTAACGCTGCCACTGCTTCCTCTAACTGCTGTAGGCTTGTTTGAATAGCGGTGGGCGTTATCTCATCTTGCAGGTTTTGAACGCTGATTTCTTCTAACTGCGCGTCTTTGAATCGGGTTAGAACTTTTTGCAATTGGTTAGTATACCGCGTGAGTATCCGTTTGTGACTTGCCAGTGATAGGTTGGACATGATTGAAGAATTAACGTACTTGGTTGTAACTCCCTTGACCTGATGGATCCTTTCAAGCGGCCAATGCACCAAAATTATGGTGGGACGGCTCGATTATATACGAATACCAAGTAGCTAAGACGATTCGGTCGGAATTTGTTGCCCGCCTTTGTGTACGCCACGCGGAACTTCTTGTAAGTAGCAGCCACAATGCCGGAAACCTCAAACTTGGGTAATTAAACCGTTTATCATAATTATACAACAAATATAACAATACAACTTTACAGATAATGCAACAATGATACGGACTATGAGTAGGCGTAACCTGATCACTGGTGTTCATGTTGCTTATGAGTGAAGAGATTGGCATAACAGTACAACTGTATGATTAACGCAACGGTAATACGATGATGTGTGATATTTGGCGATATGTAAGCTGGGTGGATAAAGGCGGAATTGAAATGGTAACAAGTGATACACTCGAAGGAATTAACGCGGACACTGGTGTTGGAGCACTAAGGAATTGAGGGACCGGAAGCAGACCGGTCGAACGCGGCTAACACTTCAGGGCCAGTCCTATGGGCTGCCTGTATTACATCTGTAGTGGGTGGAGCTTTGCCAGAGAGAACTAAAGGCGGCGTCCGGAGAGAGGTTGCATGTGGAAGAGTGCAGGTGTCTGTTCGGAGACATTTTTGGAACGAGAGATGCTGAAAAGTACATTCAGCTGACTGCTGTTGATTTCCTTTCCAGCCACCTGCGAGGCAATTGCATGAAACGGTTGTTAAGAGATGATTTACCGAATGTGCAAGAATAGATGTATGACGATTACGAATAGACAGGTGTTGTAGAAGGCATAAGATTATAATTGTTCTACATAGAGAACATTCCAATATTCGTGAAGAATGTTTTCTATAACATTAGTCTCATTGGTATGTTGATTTTAATGTGTTCTCATTGCAAAGAACTTAATTTTCCAGGTACTGTGACTCGCGAGTGTCGTGCACCATTGATGGTTGTGATTCCCAGTGATCACCGCGGTAATAAACAAAGCTTATCTGCTATCAACATTATTGTACCGGGTAAGAAGTGTCCCGTAAATAAAAAAAGATAAAGCTCTCGGTGTTGATCAATTTGTGAAGAATGCGCCGTGCATTCGACTTCATTAAGCATCGTTGGAGGTGACGGGAATGCATATCTGGCTCATACAAGGACTTGCGATGGACTATCGAGTCAGTTTTACTATCCTACCAGATAGGTCTGGTATCAACTTGCCGATCCTGGAGGGATGGAAAGCTTGCTGAACCTTATGCGTGAGGATCGATCCCATATGTATTGTGGGGCGCATGCGACCAGCGCTACACGTGCCCATAAGTGTTTCACAGGAAGTTGATATTACTTACTTAATTGGTTACTTGAATAGTCCGTTTTCACTGGTTTGCGGACCCCAGCACAATTTCCATTATCCGGAAATTTTCTGGTTTAGCCATTGTGGTTTCCTGGAGTTCTAAGGTTAACCTAGCCAAACTCTGCCCCAGGTCGTTACCATCACAAGCAGTCATTACCCTTGTGGATCAGAGGGACATTTGCTGCCATGCGGCTAGTTTGATGCCGGGTCAGTGGTGCATCCTGGTATTGGTTTACTCTTAGCTGGGCTTCCTAATGGAAATGTCGGACTCCTTCTCAGCTTGAGATGGACCCTGCCGTGGGTACGAATTCCCTGCTGTACATCGTAGCCCGACACCCAAGAACACCTCCCAACCACGATGAGGAGGTAAACCGTTGGGATGTTGGTAAGTTGATATTTTGTCAGCATATAATGAGGTTCGGAATTAGTTTTTGATTATAATGGTCTTGATATTTACAAAGGTGTGCAATACTTTTAGGAATATTTTTGAATGTGATCCAAAAGTATAGCTCGATGTATGACCCAGAATTGTTCACCGCTACGTATGCTGCGGTTTTCGGTGCTCTTACAGTTACTATGATATTTTCAGTTTGGAGGTAGGAAATCTCACGAGTGTGTTTGTTTCCTTCAAGATTTGTAGTTGTCCTCGCCCAGGTCATCTGATCTAAATTGTTAAAGTTTTATTATGTAAAATTCAATAGCTCATGTCACTTAAACACAAAATCGCAAGAATTCCACTCGGGACGTAGGTATAGGGCTTAATTGGTATATGATTAGATCTTATAACGCATAACACACATCCGAAGTGTAAAACACAACTTATGTTTTATACTAGGTGTTTCTATGTGGTTAAATTTCACAGATGACGTTTTACAGACAGAAAATCACTCCTATTTTGGTGCTTCCGGCGATCATGGCGGTTGTAGTCTCTATGGGGCTATGCACGCATCGTAACGACTTGTGGCGGTTTATGATCAAGTACAAGAGGACAATGCCTGCACGGCGCGTATAGTTTCTTTAACAGGAGATCGAAAACAATTCATTCAGTTTTTTGCTACATAAGAATTTTTTAATCGTGGACATATTTGTACATATTAAGCATTGTAACGATATAGTTTATGACTTTTGCTATTAGATTGGTGGAAAAATATCGGCCAGTTTTGAACCGAATCCTTGAATGCTATAACTTCTCTTAACCTGTTGACAGAAACAATAACAATTGGAATTTATACCTCGTTGCCAGCAATGTGCAAGTTTATTTATTCCGGTGTTTAAGAAGTTTGTAGTTACGAAAGTGGCGAATCCTTCGGAAGCGTTTTTAGCAATAGTTTGGTTGTTGATGATTTTTCCTTGGAAGTAGTTTGTTGAATTGCGTAGAAGAATGGGTTACGCACAGAACTCTAACTTGTGCAACTTGTGCAGCGTCAGTTGTGCAACAGGTCGTTGAGCGTTTGTATGTAGGTGAATGAAACTTTTCCTAACCACTTTTCATCAGTGCTCTATATGCATACGCTGCAGGTTTTAAATGAATCTATAGCTTTATCACAGCAGTTTTTTGAAGTGGCCGTTTTGCAGAAATCCAGGCTGGCGTTAATCGTCAACTCCTGTTTGGCGTCCGCGAGCTTTTTCCTCATCCAAAATCACATCCCTAATATGGAAACCATCTGTGCACTTTGCGCTAAAAATATGTTCGTTGGATTTGTGCTTTGATGAAATTTAAATTTCCTTTCACGGTAGTACGTCTAGATCTGAACACATAGAGTAAAATGGCACGGTCTTCTTGCCTTGAGAGTACCGCTTTAGTTTTTATAATAGCCATTATGATTTAAGGTTTAGAAAAGATTTACTTGTAAGCAGTTAGGGATAAATCAAGTTTTTGGACTGTTCTACCGCAACAATGCAGGAAATTCGTATTTGTTACAAAATGTATTTGTAAAATTCTGGCGATTTATTTTCGAACCACCCTACTACTATTTATTTACTGCCACAAGTTCCACTATTACAGTCCTTTTCCCGTTTCCAAATTCTTTGTGAGTACTATCGTTGTGCTCAAGTTCGTTCTGTACTTGTCGAGATGTTTTTGTCATGTGTAGATGTATTTTGCAACGGTTACAGTTTCCTCTGTATGTAGCGATAAAACTGATGGAGAGGAAATATATCCGGTTGCAGAGAACCGTTTAATTGATGTATTTGTTTTTATTTAAATTAAGAATTCTTACGGTTTTGTATCAACAGTGGTCATTAGGCCTTTATCTCGTTTCATTGTACAGCTGAGTTAAAGTCCATGCTTTTGCTAATCTGTCCTTCCACTGTGTTTTGCAGTCGTACACTAATTTATTCCATATCTTTGGGATTTCTGAATTGCTGGGTTTCGGTTCGAATCTTCATCGTTTGATTAGTCCTTATAATACCTCGTCACTGCAGGTCACAGTTACATGCCATGTACTCGGTTAGGTGTGTGAAGCTTGTGTTTATTTAAATATTATGTAGTTTTGTCGTATTTAAGAAGTAATTTCGGTTTTAAGCCTTGAGTACAGCCTTATATTGCTTCGGAAGAACAACAATTTCGTCTGTACGGCGAACCTTCTGTTTGTTTACTACAGAAGGTCGTTACAGTACATGAAATTCCGTGTAAAGTGTAAACAGTAAAATATATGGATTCAAATGAAGTATGGGAAGAGTTCTCGTTTGAAATACCCTATCATCTCTTGTTTATGGGGGATTTTCACTTTGTTTTCTGCATATTGTGGAAATATATGGTAGCACCTATCATCACTAATCTAAGTTAAAGCCAACAAAATCTGTACATCTATGCTGTTGAAGCGGGGACCCAATTATTGGTCGTAGTAGATGTACAGACTCATTGAAGTATCGCGAGAGTACAAAAGACCGCTCTTTCTCACTTTCACTATCTTAAGATCATTCGAATAAAAACAAAGAAATCTAGCACAGCGAGATTTGTTTCTGTGGGTTTGTGTTTCGAACTAGATGCAGATTAGGACCACTTGCTGCCAACGACGTTCACTACTTCACTCAGTGAACATCCACAAATATAAAACTTTTTATACAAATCTTCCGTACCATGAAAAAAGGATAGGCAGTAAGTATTTATATGTTTCATTAACTACCTGTTTATAGGAACAATTCCCCAAATATAACTTTAATGATGCTGAGATATTTGCAAAACTTCGGACCGCAGTGTCTGCAGTGGGAAAGGAACTCAGTATTACCTTTTCCGGAGGCTAACGTGTTCACCACCACACCATGCGGGTCCTTCGTTTCACCTCTCTCTCAACTAGTTCGATCGATCAGTGCCATCAGCAATCACCCATCAGCGGTATTGATCAGGGGAGCCCAAATCGGCAACGAACCCAGTTAAGCTGACACTGCAGTTACAATCACAATTTTAACTTATTATTTATTGCCTGCTCTTTTCAATGGCAGGGTATATTGCGGAATATAACTTTAATGGTGATATTTTATATTAATATGATATTTGCAAAACTCCAGATCGCAGTTGTTTGTGGTGGGGAACGAGCGCGCTGTTACCATTTTCGCGGGCTAACGCCCGAGTCCATAAGCCCCGTTGACGGGTGATTGCTAATGGCACTGATTGACAGAAAACCAGCTGAGAGAAAGGGGAAGAAAGGTCCCGCATGGTGAGGTAGTGAACGCGTTAGCCTTCGGGAAAATGTAATAGCGCGTTCGTTACCCATCGCAGACACCTGTGCCCGGAGTTTTGCAAATATCTCAGCACCATTGTGGTTATATTTTCTAGTTGTTTGTGATTTCCTTGTACTTTTTTTAAATAGCCAGTCTTCCACATTTACTGTGCGGATCCCGGAACTCCTTGCATTTCATTCGTGTTCTTGCATCCATCATCCACGAAGGTTTTACAACTTATTTTGCGTGTGGGTTCGGCTGCTGTTTGAGCATTCTTATTTTGTAGTGAATGTCACTGAATATTGGCAGAGATGATTTTCCCTGGAGTCCAGAGGTAACCGGATTAGAATGTTCCCATTTTTATTGCAGAGAGTGAAGTTTTCGCAGACAAGTCTGGTATCAATTTCCAGATCTCAGAGGAGAGATGGGCTTGGTAGGTGAGAGACAATGTCGCACTAGTACCAGGCCACCGATGGGCAGCATCACTGCCACTGCGCTAACCGCCTCTTTTTTGTGCTCGTTGTAGATAATCCTAGAACATTTCTGCCTTCTAAGTGTATTTATTATGTTCTCTGTTACGTATTACCTAGCGCATATCACCTGTCGGTATGAATTTCACACCTAGTGTATGTGCTCAGTGCCGATTAGTGCTCTGAGATTATTACCGTTGTCGGAGGATTGTAGATGACATCATTAGAGTAAAAATGGCTTTCTCAAAGGCCTTCTGTAAATCGATGAAAGTGAGACAGAGCGGACTTTTGTACTCTCGCGGTACTTCAATGAGCCTTGGTATCATGTGCATTTCGTCCATCGTACTAAATCCTTTTCGAAACCTTGCTTGCTCACATGGCTGCCAATTCTGGTTAGGATGACTCGAGTGAAAAGTTTGTAGACGAGAGACAGCAAGCAGGATGGGCGACAGTTGCGGATATCGTGTAGGTCACCCTTCCTAAACAATAAACGGTCTTGCTGGTCTTCCACTGAGTGACCTTGCCTTCAGATAGGTAACGTGTCAAGAGCTGAGCCAGTGTGTTTACGAGGACTGCCGAAAGGTTCTTCAGGTATTCTGGTCTTATCCTGTCCGTACCTGGTGCATTTCGATTTTTCACCGACGAAATGGTATTTCGGATTTCGAAAGGGGAATCGGTGGCGCAAGATATCCATCATCCTTTATTTCATATGACGGAGGGTGGACGTGGCTATTGAAGAGATCCGAGTAGTATTCGTGAGTGATTTTCTCCACTGCCCTTCTGGACGCTGTAACTGTTCCGTGTGGATGCCGGAGTACAATCATTTTGGTCTCGTAATTGGTGAAGCTTCGGTGGGCTTTGCGAATGCTTTTCCCGGCCTCTACTTTCCCCCGGCTTCGACTATTACTGCTGCTCCTTTCTCTTTAAGATCTTTTATCGCACGTCTGCATTGTTTTGCAAGTTCAGACATAGTTCGCTGTTTCCTGTAGCTCGTATGATTCCAAGCTGGCGTATCAGCTCGAGTGTCTCTGGAGATAAACGTCTCTTGGTGACTTTCGAACTCTCAGCTTTCATAGCCCTGACGTGAAGATGTTGAATGATCGTATTCTTCGTCGATGTTATCGACAACGGTATCTTTCCAACAGCCGACTAATGAATTGAGTAAGTCCCAGTTTGCGGTGAGTCTGGGACTTCGTTTTCGGAAAATTAGCGGCTTGTTCTACTCTCCGCGAGAGATAGAATCTTGCACGAAAGAGACGATGGTCTGATCCCGTGTAGAATTTTAGGACAACAGCGACTTCGGTTAGGCAAAACCTTCTATTACTGGGATGTGGTCTAGTTCGTTATGGTAACCTTCATTGGGAGTCTCCCACGTCCAACCTTGAGGGCGGGGCTTCTGTAATTGCGAGTTACCATGGATGGTCTTGGTCGCCATCCATGATATACTCAGATACCTGTTCGTTCCATTGTAATCCGTGGGTTCCAATGTGACTTTCTTCAGACGTTCTTCTTGGTCCATTCTTAGCGTTAAAATGTCCAATGATGATCTTGAAGAACGTATGGTCTTCGCTTCGATTTCTTCTTCGCCATAGTTTGATATCGACGCGTAAACGACGAAGATTGTCAAAGCCGGTGTTGATCCACATCTTTTTAATCGTAAACGTCCGATTCGGGTTGTAAACTGTTCGAATGAATCTATGTTCATGGACAAACTCGTGTTGACGAGAACGTCGACACTGCCGACTCCTCTACTGTCGCATGTTCCGAGGAACAGTTCTTCTCCGGTGTCATAGGCGGCATTGAATAGCTGGCGTCTTCTCGTCTCGGCCAGGCCGATAACGTCGTACCTTATCCTTCTTGCTTCTATGAGCAAGTCTTC